GGCAACTTCTTTGGCAAGGGGGCTGCTCACGATGACTTCCTGCATTGATTTGTGTTGCCCGCGATTGCCTTCCATGGCCAGCACGGCTGCGAGTGTTTCGGCATCCAGCATGATGGGTGCCGAAACTTTGGGCCATGCACACCTGACGGCTGCTATGCCTTGGTTGTTGTTGCACCAGTTGGGCTTTTTGTTGCAATGGAAGGCAAAGACCCTTTTTTTCCAGCCTGCTTCACTGGCTGGTGGCCGGCTGCCCTGCCAAAGCGCGCGCCCGCCTGTCGACTGTCTTCCTGGCTGTCAGCATTTGTCTGATGCTCACCCTTCGACACTTCGTGACAACCATGCTTGAGAGAAGTCGCCATTTGAAAGAAATTGGTTTGCCAAAGAAGGGTCATGGCGACACTCCTAATGTTCATCTCGAGATTGTAACTGAGAGCTGCCGACGGCACAATGTTCAACGTGTACAGGTCTTTCTCAAGAATAGGTGCCTGCGAGCCTCACGTTTTGAGCATCTGGCGTTGCCCCTCTCCGTGCCCCCGCATGAGCCAGGCGCAGGATGAGAGAGAGGAGGAGCAGGTGGCGGAGGAGCGTGCGCAGAGTGCCCGGGCTCGCGAAGCGCGAGGGGCCCCAGAAATGGCGACGTGGTCTTGAGACGTGTCCATGTGGCATCATAGCGAATGGCTGGGACATGGGGACTTGTCGACATGTTGCAACAGGGTAAACCTCGTGATGTAGGAATCACCTGGAAGCTTCGAGTCCCATTCTTCAAGCTGCACCGGGAAGGAGATGTGGCCATTGCTTGGGTGACAGCCACTTGTGCTTTGAAAGACATGTTTTTGGAGCTTGCCCCCCCCCCCCCCCCGCCTCCTTCGGTAGGTCTGACATCAATGTGTCCATGAAGCTGCACAGCGTTGCCGTGGAGGACCATGTTGGCATCCCTCCGGATTGCTTAAACCTCTTGATTTAGGCCAACGGAACAGCACGGATTTATGGTTGACCCGCTTTTCAAATGTATGGTCTCTGCTTGTTCATATAGTGTCATGCCCAATGGGCAGCCTTATTTGTCTAGGTCCCCCAGCAGTGCCCTTTTACCCTTTTTTGGGGGAGGGTTCCCCTACTAAAATAGACCCTTATTCTGCCTCTCTACTGGAGGACCTAGTTGTGCAGACTTTCGGACACACGAGCTGACCTGCTAGTTTCAGGCTGCATTGAGATTCTTTCTGCCACCGGGAAAGACTGAAAGTGGGTCAGGAAAAGGGAATCTTCGATTCTTCCTTTTCATGCAAAACGACTCTTGGAGGATTCGAGCCTCGAGAATGCTTGCAACACGAGTGTCACCTCTTCCATATTTGTTTTTTGTCAAATGGGTCAAGCAGCCTCTGCAGGACACTCAATCTCGATCCGAGATACTGCTGTTTGGCCCTCAGGATGAGACATAGAAGTATCATGAAGTATCACCAGATAGTTTGGCAAGGAAAGAATGAGATCTAACGGAATTCCTACGGAGAAGCAACAGGCTGATTCCAGCTGAGGGTTTGTTGGCGCCTTTCTTTTTGTCAATCTGTTGAGAAGACGATGGCGCACAGTGACTTACCTTTGTTTTGAAGGCCCCAAGACTGGAGCACACATAGGAGGAGCGAGAGGGGGGGGCCCAAGGGGGTGGGCACCACCGAGGCTGGAGAAATGCGCCATGATCATCGCGGAGGCGGGATGAGTTGTGAGGGGCCCGAGGAGATTGGGTCATGTTGAACGCTTTTCACTTCTTGACTCTTGATGCAGTTCTTGACCTTTGAGCTTTGGGATGAGCTGCGATCATTTCAGACCATGTGGCCATCTTTGTCATTGCATTGCGTTCATTTGCCAACGCGGTCGGGGATGCTGTACGCTGGGAGCCCAAAGTCGAGACGGCAGAAACAGGCGAGGCCACTTCTGTTGCGCATGCCCCTGGAAAGTTTGGCGTCTTCGAAACTTGCAAACCACAAGCTCAACATACCATGAATAGTGGCAGCAGGTAGTGTGTCTGCAATATGATCCAAAATGACCGCTCAAGCACTGTGGGCAGTTGGGAGTTGGGACTGTTGAAGAACGCTACTCTCTTCTCTCTCCTTGCTTGTCAACAGGTCTTTCTCCGATACCCATGCGGAATCGTTTGTCATCGTGGAAGACAATCGATGATGGCATGGTTGATGCTTTCCGCAACTTTTTGCCGCTGCCAGCAATTGCCAAACGCAGCTTCTGTACATCGATTAAGCGCTCGCAAAGCTTGTGAATCGATACGGAGGAAACAGCGCAACCACCAAATAAGGCTAAGTGTGGATTGCCGCATGTCGGTTTCTACCAGGAGTCATTCAACGAATCAAAGGCCTTTGAGTCAGAGCGGCATGGTGTAACTCATCAACCGCTTTACATGAGTGCGCACCATGTTGTAATTGTTTCTTTTGGACGCTGGTGCATTAAGCATGCTCAATTGTATGTATTGGCTGATTTGCGCCAGCATATCTATGCGTGTGCATGTTTCTTTTGCTTTGCTTTTGTTCATGTGCTAGCTTCTACCCTTCTCCGTCTGTCTCTCCACATGCTTGCTTTGCATTTCCTCTGGCTTCCTTACCTTCAAACAGGACTGAAGACCTTGAAGGACCTGCCTTTTTTTGCAGGCTCTGGGTTTGTTTCTTGTCAACCTTCCACATTTGGAGCATTGTTTTTCTACTTCCAGGTGACGTTGGGCTGTGTCCTTTTGGAGCATTCCCACATGGCACTCCCGAGGAGTGCGGCATTCCGCGGCAGTGGATCTCCAATCTCTGCTTCAAGCCTGGGGAGGTTCCGCGCTGCCGGGGTCAGTTGCGGTGGGTTTTCCCAAAGCCAAGCAGCCGAGAAAGGTTCACTGCCGGTCGGGGAACTGAGGGGCCGGCCTGCCCGTCAAGGGATTGTCATGTAGGGACGGGTTTGTGTTTCCTCTGGTTCTTGAGAAAGGCTTGTGGTTTTGGCCGATTTGGTTACTGACATTGAGCATATTTATTGACCAGATCATTGGCCGTGAATGGACCTGCACACCCTGCTCAGAATTTAATTTATGCGACGAAATGCTTCTTGATTAGACATCCTTCAACTGTATTTCTGGGGTGGGGAAGGTGTGTCAAGGTATGGCTGGAGTTATGAAGCTCACAGTGGCATAGGCGGATCGGACAAGGCACACCGCCTGGCTTACTGCCACGCCCGCGTCGGCCAGGAGCTGGCGGCCGTGTCCGAGTTCTCCGTCGGCCGCTGGCTGAACACTGGTGGGTGGGACCCATGCGAGCTGTTGGCAGTCTGACATCACGGAACCCTCATTGGGGTGGGCGATGATTGGTGATGACTCAGCGATGACGGTCAGAGGCAGCTGTTGCGAGGAAACATGTGTTCGATCGAAACACGTGCAAAACACTACGCGGGTTCCAACAGAGACCATCAGCTTGACGGAGGATTGACCCTCGCACTCCATGTTTTGAAGAGCGACTGGGATTCTGCAGAGAGTCCTGATGCCCCGCACGTCTCTGAGGCGACCTGAGCTCCGTGCAAGTGGACATGTGAGTTGTTTCCTGAGCTCCGTGCTCGGGTGGCACCTGGGCAAGGCGGCGGGTTCAACGCGCGCCGCGTGCACCCGCTTTGCTCCAGCGATGCTCTGCCGGTTTCACAGTTTCACCTGACACATACGTCAGCATGTTTGTTTGGCCGGCACAGCAACGAGAGGATCGCTTTCTTCGCGTGTGAGCCCATTGTCCAGCAACAGGGAAGATAAGGAAGTTGGTACTGCGCATTGCACTTTAGACCATCCTGCGCGGGCATGGCTTAGGAATTGGCTCCACAACTAGTTCCACCCTTCTCCAATTCTTGTGAGGCTTGATCATATGTGAGAAGGCCTGCTTCAGCTAGCCCCTGGCGCTGTGCAGCCTCGAGTTCCCGGGGCACGTCTCACCACAAGCGGATCTCACCATAGGCAAAAGCTCCGACGGCCGGTTGAACCTGGGAACGTGTCCGCAAATCGGCCCGACCCCGAGCTCCCTCGAAAGAATTCTGCAACGCAGCCAAGCATTTGGAAGGCCGCTCATGTTACCCAGCTGCCAAATGTCCTGCTTTGTGACTTAAGAAGACCAGCGTTTGATTCATTTGAGCAAATGACCGCAGCGTCACTCAGGCACAATAGTTACGACTGTTCACATCATCAGAATTGCTTTCTGCATGATAGTTTCATTTGGGGATCTTAAAACACATAATGTTCTTAGAAGTCTTTTTATTTCTGATGTTTCACCAGCTTGCTGCGTTGCTCGTGGAGAGAGCTTGCCTTCCATGTTTTGAGTCTACAGCGCGGGATGGCCAGCAGCAGTTATTTCTCGCCAAAACCAAAAACACGTGTTTTCCTTCGGCAGCAGTTGAAGCCAAGCTTGTGTGAATTGACACACACACACACACCCACACCCACACCCACACCCACACCCACACCCACACCCACACGCACACGCACACGCACACGCACACGCACACGCACGCGCACGCGCACGCGCACGCGCACACGCACACGCACGCGCACACGCACGCGCACACGCACGCGCGCGCACACACAAAGCCGCGTGTTTTGTCCTCTGCAGACCGCAGCTGTGGCAACAAATCCGGAGAGCTGCCCTTGATTTGATCGTTGCGCATGGCGACATATGCAAACTGTCCGAACACTTCGTTGCTTGGAGACTAAGGGTCGTCCTCAACAATTGGGTCGGGAGTTTGGACACCCATTGTAAATGTCCTGTTAAATGCGTGCACCACGACCAAAACTCGGAGGTTTCAGACCACAACCCACATGTTCCAAGTTGGAATGCAGGCTCTGAGACACTCCACTTGGAGTGCCGAATGCTCCAATAGACATTACATCTCGCAAGGGAAGGGTATGGAGGACATACAAGAACATACCCCTCAAACTGCGAGCTAATATGGCGAAAAGGGCCGGGTGTGCATGCAACAGACCCTGCTCTGAGGTGGCGCAGAACTTGTTGCGGCGGCTTCGGGAGCAGTCTAAGTCGGCGGAGGACAGACAGGTGTAGGTGAAGTGGTTCTTGTCATGAAAGACAAATTATTTTTGCATAAACCAGCACGAACAGACCGTCCCACAACTGTCCGACGCTCCCTGCTTCAGCCTTTGGCATGCGTTGATGACAAACCATTCGCCGGAGCAGCCCCAGCAGCAGTGACACATATTTGGCATCTGCGTTGAATTGCAATCCTTGGCTAGATGCACTGAGCGATTTCTCTCTCACACCGCGCCTGTGGAGAGGAGTTTGGCGAGCACTTTTACGCCATGCAGCAGGAAGCCATCGAGGGCCTTTTCAGGTGCCGCACTTCTTGCGCGGCTGAGCCTGGGCAGTCCTTGTCGAACTATAATTTTTTGTGGTGATCGGGGGCTTCCAGTGCACTTCACGGAAACTTGCAACCTGTGACACAATGAGCTTGGTCTTGCTGCCTGCTGCCTTTCGGCCCTACCAAGTTGAGCATATATAGCAGAGTTTGGGTCTGCCTAGGTTCCTCCCTTGCTTGCGCTGTACGCGCTCAACAGCACGTTGCTACCTCTTTGATAGTCATCAAAGCGTCCAACATGTGATGTGAACCTCCCAGAATGATGCAAAACCAGTGAACCCTCCAAATGTTTACTACGCGGAAAACACCCTCTTTAATTAGGCGTCCAGTCTTGTCACAAAGGCCCCTCCTAGTGAGGGGCGCAAAGATTTGAAGGGTAATTCCGCTTGGCTTTTTCAGAATCACATTCTTAGCAACCGTCGGAACTGAGTGTTGTCGAAGGGACCCAACCGCCGGGTCCATGTGCGACCAGCACTAGCTGGCGGAAGGTGTGCTGGGGCAGAGGCGGCCCTGTCCTTGTCCCTGGCTTTTGTGAAGCCCTTTGGCAGCCATGGGAATTTGTGTGTGCTTTGGTCCACGGATGCTCTTGATGCTTTGGTTTGCTTGTTTTCTGGAAGAACGGATGTTGTTTGCGTGTATGGCTGGGTGCTTGCCTGATTGGCTTGTTTGGTTGACGCGAGGCGTTCGACCTCGTGTGTAACTTGGGTCGGGGGATTTTGGCTAGATGCAACAGACATGGTGTCACTTACGGTTCTCACGAAGCCAGCCCGCTTCCAATTTGTGAAGAACCCGCTTCACGGGAGTGCTAGCCCACTGAAAGCCTGGCCCAGCATCTATGGTTTCGCCGAGGGCGCTTGCCGGCCTTTTGCCGGGCGCGAGCCATCGCAGATTTGCCCAAGGATTCCTGTTGACCCAAGTAGAAATAGACACCATGGCACGTACCAAGAGAACTGCTCGTGGCGTTGGCTCCGTTTTGGGGGGTGTCCGAGGCTTTGGGGGATCAAGCCTTCTCCATTGCTGGAGCGGCCTTTGTACGTCGGAAGCTCATGGGCTGCGGGAGGTCAGCATGAAACCAATCTTTGGAGAACTTGGCAGGGACAATGAACGGGGGCCACAAATGAAGAACAAGGAACTGGCGTGTCTTTGTCGATCCGTGGGGAGATCTAAAACTCTGACAGTTTTTTTTTAGTATCAGTTCACATCCCACTGTCGAGGTGTCGAGGTTGTGTTTGTCCCGCACGGTGTTGGGGCACATCATTTTTTGAGAGGTTTGCCATGAAGCGAGGGGCCTTCCAGTTGCAGTGCATTGGTGGTCGTGGTGATGGTGGTGGTGGTGGTGCTGGTGATGATGATAATAAGACATTTAACATAATCACGGAGTGCTCTGCTGAAGCAAGCGAAAGCAAATGTTCCTTGTTCCTGCCAGACGTCCAGTTTTGTCGCCAACTGCTTCTGGATTTGTGGGCGGACAGTTTAGTCCTGTTTTCCTGGTCTGGCAGCTCCCCATCCCGACCTGGGTGATAGATTGAATCTGACATGCTCAACGACAGATGGCTCTTGTTCAATCATGACCACGGGTGTGTGATGCAATTATGCCCCCTTCACATCTTTGCCCAACAATCAGTACCTCAACAGTTGACCTTGTGAGTTTTCGTAGATGTGACACTTTACTCATCTCCCCATTTTGATGAGTAAGACCCCATGAACTCATCTCATGTAGATGTGACAGTTTTTTTTGGTCCTTTTTGCTTGGATGTTAGGACTGTAACTTTTTGCCAACTAATGGGTTTTCCATTCAACCACCAAAAGTCAAACTTTTCGCAGGGGAGCAGAAAGCAACCGAGGTTTACTCATGTACTCGTCTCCCCCAGCGTGGTGGGGATTTCGATTTCCGCGCCCGTTTTGGCGCCTCGGGTGTCGATTTGTCCGCGCGCAGGTGGTCCTGCGCGAGGCCATCCTGAGCTGCGTGACGCCGGACCGGTCCCGGCTGCCGCTGCTGGAGGCGCCGGGGCCCCAAGCGGAAGGAGGCTGGAAGCGGTCTGCGGAGGTTTGTGGAGCAGATGGTACCATTTTGGGGTAGGTGAATTCACCACCCATTTTGGAACCTATTTTAGTGGGGATTGGGATGTTCACCGGGGTACGGGATTTTGACCCATGGCCATGTGGGCCTGGGAATTTTTGGAGGGGACCCGTTTTGGGACGGTTCAATAAGGGAAGCCCGTTTGGGAAGAATAGCAACTTTGGAGGTGCTCCAGTTTGAGACAGTTTGAGTCAAGAAATAACGACCCCTTTGCCCCCAAAGGCATGGTAACTTGCCTAGTTGTGTGTTCACTGGTGTGAGGTTTGCATGAGGCCACTTTGGTTTAGGTTGAGGGTTGCATGACATGACAAACTTGTCAAACGGCAAACGCCGTTTGGCTCAAGCGCTCAACAAGAAAAAGAGCGCTGAGTGCGGGACTAGAGTTTAGAAACCACCCCCTGAACCGCTGAGGGATTAATCACGGTCAATCCACCTCTTTTTGTTCGGGGCGCAGCCTTTGGCGCGCGTTTGGGGTTTCTTGCTCTTTTGATTGGTTATCAGCCGTATAGCCATTCTTTCGGGATTAACTAGGCCCTCCCTCAGCGGTTCCCCCATAAGGGGGCGCGCGTGGCCGTCGAGGAAGAGTATCACAAACGTGGTGCCCTTGGAGGAGCCGCAAACAAGAAGCGAGTGTGGTGGGAGCTCCAGGAGGACGTGATCGACGAGGTCCAGCAGCGTTTTGGGTTTACACCACCCAAGTTGCAGTGGGAACAGGGATCAGAGGTGCAGCTTGCTGCCCTTCGGGCCTGGAACCGGGACGTCACCGAACAGCGTTGGGAGGAGCTTCACAGGTGGCATCAGCCTACGGCCCTTCGCATCCGGGCAATCCGTGAAGAAGAACGGAGGGCCGCAGCCAGTGGCGCGGCAGGTGCAAACCCAGTGCCTGCCACTCCCTCATCTCCGACTCCCTCTACACCACCGCAACAGCAGCAGGCGGCGCAACCCCTCCTTGGCCCAGCAGGCTTCACCTGCTGAGGCTTGGTTGTCTGCTCCGGCTTTGCCTACAGCGAGGACCGCAGCCCAAGGCGCGGTGACTGGTACAGCTCCGAGGACAAGGACATCTACGACCTCCCCACGGTCAGTGTCAAGGCAAGTTCTGCGAGCAGTCTATTCCCAAGTGCCCATCGTGCTTAGGTCTTGCTCTCGGTCAAGAACTCCGACACCGACCCAGGAGGCCGCAGCCCTCGGCGCGGCAGTCGGGAGCCTTCGGGAACCCGCAGAACTCCTCGCCCGACAGAGGAGTGTGCCATCAAGGACCTCGCCAACCGGCACGTGGACACTGCAGAGGGAGCAGCCCTCCGGCGCTCCACGGGCATTTGCAGGCCGAGCCCGCTCACGTCTACCGCAGTTCAGTGATCCTCACGAACTGCCAACGGACGTGTGGCTCCGCCCCGAGGCCTACGGGGAAAGGTCTAGTTCCTCGACCCCAAACTACGGGAACGCGGAGGTCTACCACCTGGAAGACTACTCCGACGGGGACACGGTGCACAACACAGAAGATTTGCTTTCAGGCAGAGCAGCATTCCGGGCGGGTGGGGTATACGAAGCACCGTTTCATAGAACTACAGTGCCGGCCTCACCTTCGGCCTTCGGCCCCTGCTACGAAAGCCACAGCAAGTTGCGGGCCGCGGCCAGCGGCGCGGGGAACAGTTGCAGCATTTTTGGCAAGCAGTCACGGGCGTGTTCCAAGCAAAGCGAGGTCTTCTTCGCCCCCACGCTTAGCGGCGCCGCCAGCCAGAAAGGCTTCTGTCCCTGCAAACAGCCGGCCTGGCCCACACATCAGGTTCAAGCAGCCGCCGGCATCGTTGAGGACGCCATCAAAAGGGCAGGGAGCAGCCTTTGGCGCTCCAGACCCACCTTGGCGGCAACCGCCGCAGCGAGAGCCACCAAAGCCTCCTCCACCAAGGCGACAAAGCCACGGGATCCCAGATCCCCTACCTCGGACAACCCTTGCGGACCGGCAGACGCTCAACGTCATCCTGGATTGGCACGGTGCTCGACGTGAACATCCGCTCTGGGGGAAGGCTTCACCCACAGATCGTGGACGGATTGATTCGTCTACAGACAGCTCACGGTCCGTTCAACTGGATTATTTGCAGCTATTGTGGGGTGGAGCGCGAACGAACTACGGCGCCGGAGATCGCCACAGCAAGGATACACCTGGCTTACAGGGGCATCTACGTGGGTACAGCGCAGTTCACGCGCTCCAGGGTTGGCGTTGCTGGCAAAGCAAACCTGTTGCACGGCTGGGCAACACACATCCTTGTGGACGACAACGCCACAATCTGTCGTGAGGCGCGACTTACAGGCGCGCACGCTTTCCGGGCATACCCCAACCAGGGGGTGCAAGGGATTCTGGACGCGTTGCTTGCTATTGAGCAGTGGTTGGATCAAACCGACCGAGCGACCATCCAGCCTGCCCGTGCACTTACTGCCGCAGAGCTCCTTGAGGAGGTTCGCAGGTAGCAAATCACCTGGTGCTCGCGACAGGGGTGCAGCCGTTGGCGCACCTAGGATAGTTTCCCATCCTGTGCAGGGGGCAGCCGTTGGCGCCCCGAAGAGCTGTGGCGCATAGACACACGAAGTCACACATGTCCAATTGCACACAACTGCATTGGTGAGCCTTCACATTTGCATCCAATTTGCAATCAAAAGTTTAGGTTCAAAGGAGATTCCCCATTATCAATTAGTGAGGTATATCAATCCTTGTGTGACTGAGTGTGTTGCTGCATCATTCAATAATCTGTTTTGAGTGTAGCCGTAAGTGCACATCTCATAATCCCACCAGGCACAAATCACCGGCCTTGGAGAGTGCTGCCTCTGGCGCACTGACTTGGTTCGCGTGTGCAGGAAAAGCTATTGCATCCGTGCGGCTCAGGCATGAATCCCTCTGGCATCACACCCCCATCCGAAGATAGGTCTAGATCCTCACATGGCACAGACTATGATGACCCAGACCTTGCGGGTGCAATGGTGCCAGCCATGTCTGTTGTTAGGCGTAACCCTAATAGCCCTGCACCAGATTCCGATGCAACCCCTGTTAGGCGCATGTTCGTTTCAGAACCATCCTCATCAGAGCCGGCTGGAACGCCCGATCCAACCCAGAACCTCCCAGCTGCTGCATTTGTTGCGGGTGCCGCCGTTCAACGTGCCCACCATGCTTCCGATGTCGCGCTTCAGGCCGCTGAACATGCGCAACAACAGCAACTGCTGGCTGAGCAGGCCCGAAGGGAGGCGGGGGAACTCCGGGAAGCCGCCCAACAAAGGGAAGGGTTGTTTAGGCATCAGGCAATGAACCTTGTAACCCAAGCTCAACAGGCCGTGAGTTATGCACGCGAGCACGAGCTCAATGCGAGGCAGCAAGCCATTGGCGCTGCGGAGCAAGAGGAGGCAACCAGCAACAGGCCGAGGTGCTTAGGCTTCAGGCGCAAACAGTCGTTTCCGAGGCCCATGAAGAGGTAGGTCAGACTAGGGCATTAGCTGAAAGGTATGCAGCAGAGGTTCGCAACAGAGCTAATGCTGAACAGGCCCAGGCCCAAGCTCAGACCCAATACCTTTATCAGGAAGCACAACGTGCCGTAGCCGAACGTGATGCCACCATTCTAGCTCTGCAGGAGAGGGATTTGCAACAAGCGTCTAGGTTAGCCGAACTTGAAAGGACGGTTTCCCTTTTGCTTGAAGTCCGTCAGCCTCCGACTCGCTCGCCGCGAAGTGCCCCGCAGGCACAAACCGATAATGGTACGGATTCTAATACCCCTCAACCCAAAGGGTCGCATAACCGGAGCTCCCCCATTTTGGGTGGACAGGATGTGTCACCAAATGGGGGCTTCATCCAGTGGATTGCAAGACCAAGCAAACCAGCAGAGTGGACTTGATAGATCCTCACAACAGGGTTTAGATAGTGCCGAACCTCAAGTGGGTCCTCATCATACAACTGGTGTTGACTCGGGCGCCCAGCCCGGTGCTTCCTCTGCCAACCTGCATGTCACATTCCAGGATGTTGCAACCCCGCATGATGTTGCCGCAGGAAGTGTGGGACTCGTAAAGAGCCTTGCCCCTACCGGCCCAACACAGGACATCGCAGGAAGTGCGGGACTCGCAAAGGGTTCTGCCCCTACCGATTCAGAGCAATGTGCCGAAGCAGCGATCGCCGAAGGAAGTGCCACGTCCGTCAAGGGCGCAGCCCCTACTGGCGCATTCGATGTAGGTGCAGGTGCCGCAAGCAACAGTGCTGTGTCCGCCAAAGGCGCAGCCGTTGGCGCGCAGAGCAGTAGTCATGATGAGAAAAGTGAGATAGCAGATGTTAAGCAGCAAATTGCTTCCCTAGCCTCAATGGTGCATCAGCTTAGCACTTTGGTCGCGGCACAAAGCGTGGCTCCTCCTCCAATGGCTTCAGCTCCCTGCCCTGCCCCAACTGCCGCAAGGGCAGCTGCTAAGACATACTCGGTTCCCACAATCCCCCTAAGTTTTAGTGCGGGAATGGTCGACACCACCCCTAAGGCTGCATCAGACGCGAGCTCAGAGTCCTCATCAAGTTCCGAGAACGAGGATGATGATGTTGCCGATGAACCCGAACCCGCTGGCCAGTGTAGGGTTTGCGGTGGTTCCCACGACGAATTGTCATGCCCCCGTCTCTCAATGAACGAAGTGGGTTTAGACAACAACAGTGGTGATGCAACTCAGCGGGGCGCTGCATTTTGCGCGCCAAGTGCTGCTTTCAGTGCGGTAGGTGATGCTCACGGCACACTCCCAGACTCCGCCAGCGCACACCAGACCAAAAGTTTCGCATCCCAAGAGGAGGATGTGGTCAAAGACTTGAAGGATTTGACATTTCCTGCCCCTCCCGAGGATGCGGGCCAAGCAAGAGGTTATGCAAACCAGGTCTTAATGGCCATAGGCAGACTTCAGAAGAGCCCAGGTGATG